TATCACATGGTCTCACTCATTTGAGGAATATAATGAACAACATAAACTGATGAACAGAAATAGAACCATCGAACAAACTGTCCAACCTAAGAGGGAAGGCAGGGGCAGGGTGGGGGGAGAAGAGGTCAACCAAAGGACTTATGTGCATGCATATAAGCATAACCAATGGACACAGACAGTAATGGGGTGAGGGCATGTGCTGGGGGGTGGGAGTGGTTGGGGAGAGGTCAATGGGGGAAAAAGGAGACTTATGTAATACTTTAAACAATAAAGAATTTAAAAAAGAATGATTTGGAGAAAAAAAGAACATTCTTTTGAGCATATATTTCTAACTCTGTACGCTTGATCCTTTTTATGGGTTTCAACTGTTTTCAGGATGGAAAACTTTCTGAAGATTGGGTTATTTTAGAATTATTGTCTTGACATCATTATATGTTACAGTCCTCTGTGTTTTTTTATAGATACATAATTATGTTTTATTAACTGTGCTCTTCTTTATAGGGTCTGGTATTTAGTCTGAGCCTGAAATGGAGAGGGTGTTATTCAATTATGTCTTAATCTGTCTAGAATGCCTTTCTTCCCATCTTTGCATGAACCAAACTTCATCTATCCTTCAATATATATTGTAAACACCGGTTTCCCCCATGAAACTCCCTTTGACCTTCTCTTGCTTGGATGTGCATTGAACACAGGCTCAGGAGGTGGTCAGACCTGGTTCTGTTTGTGACTCTGCAACGTAGTATGTGGGTGAGATTCTTTTAACTTTTATCCCTGGTTTCAGCTTCTCATTTGAAAAGTGAATCGTTTTCCTCTTCTTTCTCACTCCATCCATCTCCACGTCTCCCTAAGAGACCATCAACTGTTTCTTTGCTTTGTACAGAGTGAAGCAAAAGTCTGTTTTAAATGCAGTTTTTATCTTTAAGAACTTCAAGTTATAAATGCAATAAACTTACAAAAATATAATTTGAAATGTTATCACAATTTCTTATACACTTAGGTAGTTTGACAGTTTGGAAAAGCACATTTTTTAATTTTAAGTTTTTCCCCCCCAGATCCTCTGAGGATGTCAGATTTTGAAACAGACTCAGGAATTTAAGCACTCTGCATTTGAACCGTCTGTCTCCTCTTGTCTCTGTTTCTTTGTCTATATATTTATAGTACTTTACAGATTATTTACATAATATTTATGTTTCTGTATGACAATTTAATACATATTGTTTGAATAAATGAATTGGTGTTTTTCAGAGACCAACAAATTGGGTCTGACAAAGCGGGAGAGGAGAATGACTCAGCCTTAGTAATAGATTTATGTTGGGGTTGATTCACATACTCGGAAAAAGACGGTGGTCTGAAATGCTTTCACTGCTTCTGAAATCATCTCCGTTTGCTAATGAGAAACTGGCTTTCTAGGTTGTGTTAAATTTCTTGAAAGAGGCTTCCATAAAGTCAATCCAAGTTTCAAATCATCCAACAAGATATTTTTTTTTGGCCTAAATTCTAAGGACTTCTTTTCTGAAGAGTTGCATCTTATGAAACCCAGGTTATTGCCAGCCAATTGGACACTCTTCAGTTGCTTTGAAAAGTGTACAAGGGGTCATGCTTTCTCTCTAATAGTAGAGTTTTAATGGTGGTGTATGTGCTCCTGAGATGTGTGTGTGTGTGTTTCCCTAGGGGATGCAACTCCTAGTTTCTCTGCCCCATTTCCAGGTTAACGTTTACATTGAGATTTGTTGCTAAGCTCTGCTAAAGGCATTTTTGATATGCACTTGAGCTGGTGAAGTGAAATAAATTTCTAACTCGTTTCTTTGAAGATTTATCAGGCAGTTTTGTTGATGTTTCTTGCTTCGTTTCTCTTACCCATCACAGAAATAAAATTCCAGGCTAGGCAGCAGCCAAGGCCCTGGATCTGCGTGAGCATGTCAAAAGCATTCTAAGAAGAGCAAAATATTTAGAGGAAGAATTTGGAAAATCAGCCTTAAGGGATTTAACACATTTTTCTTCTAATTCAGTCCCGTGTTTGTCCCCCTAATGGAGAAAGGTCATTAATGGGTAAGATTTACTGAGGCAGGAAAGGCTTTCAGAAACTAAATGTGTTTCTAAACTCCAAATCTAAAGAAAACACTAGTTTGGGATCCAGAAAGAATATATTTAGACTGTAAATTATACTCACTCATTAAATTCATATAACAAATATAGTTATATGTAAGTTAACTAATTGACTTGATAATGGAGAGTTAACAGAATTCGAGACTTTTGGAGTTCTGTATAAATTTCTAGGAAGGCAAAATGATTCATCAGAATAGCATGACTTAGATTTTGAGATGTCCTGCTACCACTTTGCTAGTATATTTTCACCTCCCTGTTACAGAGACCTGGGCCAAGGTCGTAATTGTTGTGGTGTGGAGGGCAGTTCTATACTACCAAGTGTTCCAAAGCTGTTACATTTTTAATCTCATAATCGAAAAGCTGCAGGCTAATTCCTGTACTTTACTGAATTCCTGTCTGGGGTGTGTGTGTGTGTGTGTGTGTGTGTGTGTGTGTGTGTAAAGAGTAAAATGTGAACTTAAGGCTTATTGAAATATGAAATATGAATCCTTTTTTCCTCTTTAACTATACCACAAAAATTAATATAAGAGAATTTTGATGAATTTTGGAGTGTTTTTAAAATGTTTGGATTTGATTATCTTTTACAAGCCAATATTTTATTTTATATTGGACTCAAAGATCAAAGACTATCGTAGAAACATTACCTCATTGATTTTTATAAGCATCTCTGTATGGTGGGAATCTTTAAAATTTGATTTCATTCTATATTTGATAAAATTGAAAGATTTTATTTATCATTTGATAAGATGACGGGTACTTCATTCTACTTTACACCTGTTGAGTATCCTATATAGTATTAGATAATTTAATATGTTTTTGAAAATAAGAAGGCTAAATACCTAGAAAAGAGGTTAAGAAAAAAAAAATACAATGTAGTAATATTATCCCTTAGAATTTTTCTTACTTTATGGTCAAACATTCTTAAATTGTATGAAGGTTATGAAATTAACAGAATTTAATATTTATGACATATATATTTGTAGCATTAAAGAATAATAGATATGGCAGCATTTACAAAAATAAATCTTTTGAAAGTAGTGGGACAAGTAATTGGATTTATCATGTGCTCTGGACACTGATTTTAATATATTTATATTGGTGGGCTGGTATAGGCTCTCTGCAGGTTGATGTGTCTGGTTGCCTTATATTCTGTGTATAATCTGTGCTCTGTCCCTCTGGGGTGTGATGGTCAAGGCTGGGATATTCAGAGTGTGTAAGCAAGTCCTCTAGGTTGATTAATGGCTGATATGTGGCATTGATCAGATGCAGAAAGCCTGCAATCGGGACTGATGCTGACTGCATTGTCCTCTCTGGAAGGAAGGCCTCTGCTTAGCACAATTAACACCAAGAAGTTTCTTAGAGAGCAGCTTTGTTTTTCTCCAGTTGTCCCCTCTGTGTCCCGGAGTCAGTCTCCAATTACCCTATGGATCTATAGAAGTGCACTTTCCTGAAGCTGCTGCTATATTTATTCCAGGAATGACCTTTTCATTACAAACTCTCCTTCCAGAAGAGAGTAAGGACCAAAGACGCCACAGACATGGGGAAGTGTCAGGGGTGAATTTAAAATTATGCTGTTAGAGCTCAGTAACGAGGTCTGGGTGGGAGGAAGCCCCTTCAGATTGATGGATGGAGGGCAGGGCACACTGGGGCCTCCTCTCTTATTATTTTGCTGTTATCATGCGGCAGGGGGTAAGGGGGGGGGTGGGTCTCGCGCAGCCTGGTGGTATGAACCGTAGTGGAACCAGCAGTGTGTATATAACAGCTTTCTGCACTGTTCCAGGTGCTCCTTGGGCAGCTTTCAGAACTACTTAGAGGTTTTTAACAGACAGCTTTGTAGGACTTAACAATGACTCTTGCTGGTTGTATTAGCATATTGGTGAGCAATTGAAGAGGATATGACTAGAAGTAACAGAAAGGGTAAAATAGATGTTTATCTGATTTGTTCATACATATACTATACTAACAACAGTAATAAGAGCAAAGAAGAATTGAACACCAGCTCTTTGCCAAGTATTTTCCACTTATAGTCACTAATCCTCACAGTGTCCTTATGAGCTGGGTGCTATTTATCCACATTTTACATATGGGAGTTTAGAGGCCAGGAGCCCTTAAATGACTTACCCAAGGCCACAGGCTAGTACATTGGGATGTGGTCTATTTGGTTCTAAAGCCCTTTGATCTCTTTGTTATACTGCCAGTCCTCCTTATAGCCAACTAAATAACCCTGCCCATCTTCAAGAAGTTCAGGATGCTTTAGTTTTTTAAGGTCAATTTTCATTTGTGCCTTGAAAAATGAATTTGTAATTATTTTTTAAAAATACTGATTTCTCTACTTGCAAAATATATAGATCATATTTATGGAACAAGATCATTCAAATCTTGCCATGTCATTCTTTCTACAGGAAATAGGGTATGGAATTGACTATAAACCTTATACTATACTCATACTAAACCTTGAACTAGTTTTTGTTCTGGAAGGCATAGAACTCATATGCAAAGGAGGGAAATAATGAATTTCTTAGTTTTTAATGGATATTTTCGATTTTTTTGAACATGCTGACATTTTTATTATGCTGAACTATTACTTAAAATGCAAGTCTGTACTGCATATGATAGTTCTATCCTACAAATGTGGATTTAATGGCTGCTGGCAATATACCGATGCTTGGGAAAGGTGCCTGAGCCTCCCTGTGCTGCATAAATGTGTTAGCGGGCTCCATAAATGCTGGTCGTCAGCCATGACATTCTTCATTAGCTGGGAATCATTGTGCCTCATGGAGTCTACCAGTAGCACCATTTAAAACTCCCTGGGATAGAGATGATCTGGTGTAGCATGCTTACTAAAGGTCCAGTGTCTCACACTTTTCCCTTCTCTCTCTTTTTCCCTCCCACAGATGAACACAATGACGTGCAGAAGAAAACCTTTACCAAATGGATAAATGCCCGCTTTTCAAAGGTAACCAAGACTTTCCAAAACCTTCTGATGATTCAAATGCTTCATTCTGATTGATGGAGCTTAGTGGGAAGTACAGTGAATTTTCCCCGTGAAATGTGATCTAACAAAAAATATAGAGATACATGTATTCTTCTTTTATTCTCTTCTAAGATAGGTTGAAGTGGAAATTCTGGTATAAATAGTTCAGGGTGCAAATGGCTCTTTATTTTCACCTGGCAGCCTCTGGACATTAAGCCAGTAGTTTGCTCCTTTTGCCTCTCTGAATCCTGGGTACATTTAGGAAATGAGTATATCATTGGGAAGATTTTGTGTTCACTTAGCTAAAAAGGTGATATAATTTTTCCTGGTTAGGATCATTCAGGCAGCCGTTCTACCCTGTGCAGAAAAGTTTAGGGATTTTTACACTGGTTGTGGCTAATAATGCTTACCTACCATGTTCTTTTCTTGTGAACTTCCTCATTTTTTCCCCCAAAGTTGTATTCTTTCCCAGTATTTCTTACCACTTGGATTATAATCAAGGTTTTGATTTATATTTTGCTCAGGGGCAGAGTAAGCTGAAGAGAGGAATCGCAACACTATTTTTCAAACTTGTCCTAATAGAGTTATCCATTGGTTATTGAACTGGTTCCCTCCTGGGGCCTCTGGGTAATCCAGAGGCTACTGGAATTTTGTTCTGAGTCTGAGATAAGAGGAAAATTTTCAGGTTAGTGGATTGTAGGATGACACTATAGCAAGAAGAAAAATAAACCTTTCTCAGAGAAATGCCATTATGGTATTTAAAATAGTATGACAGCTATTTTAATTGAGTTATTTTTTAAAAAAGTTTCTACTTGGGAAGGTTGCAGAGGTTAGGAAAATAAACATTGCTGTTTCTTTGAAACAAAATGAAAGTGTTTTAAGATTACTTTGAATAGCAGTGCAGTTAAAAATTGTTCCACATACCAATACTTAAAGTTGGTTATTTGATTGCAATGAATTTTTAGGTTTTGCAAGTTTTTTGTTGAGGGAAATTTTATCTTGCCTCTGAGAATGTAAGGAGCGTGAAAACTGTTTGACATTGACGAAAGGTCAAGCATATAGAAGTGCTTGCACAATTGGTGGTTTTCTGTGTAGGATTATTCCAAAGCAGACAGAGGTATTTTTTTTTTTTTTTGGTAAATTTTAATTTGTTTTGTTGTAGAGGCACAGGTAACCTTTGGGTGCCTTTGATTGCCAGTGGTCTCAGGATAGATTTTTTTATGAACTTGATATTTAAAATTTCACACTTATAATGTATATATTATTTTGTAACATTAGATTAGGGCTTTTAGTCCCATGCAAATCATTTGTTCCAGGAGGCTTGTAAGTATTGCCAGGACAATGAAAAGCCCAAGTAATGTTGAAGTAAAAGTTGAAGTTATGTTAAACTGACACGGAAATTAAAAGCTTGTTTTATTTGGAGAAACAGTATTAGAAGTTGAGCTGATTCTGGAAACAATTTCTTTTAGATTACTTCTAATAAGAAATAGATGTCAAAAAAGAAATTTGGATGAGTCTAGAACAAATGTATCAAAGAAATTATGAATATTTGGATATAATGAAGTAGAGGAATATGTTAAACTTCATATATATATATATATTTATTTTTTATTTTTTTATTTTTTTATTTGTTTCTTCTGGCTGTCTTAAGTCCATTAAGTCTGACTGCTTCCATACTGGTGACCAGAAAAGGACAGATTGGGAGATTCCCATAGACTCCTTGCTTGGCTTAACTCCTGCAGAGCTGGTGTCACTAGGTAATCGAGAAGCTAGCACAAGGAAAAAAAATCTGTTGAAGGGGATGAATTGTATGTCACTCCTACTTTATCCATGCCCTTTGGTATATCGTGGTGAACTTTAAAACAGAATTCTTGATCAAGTCCGCTGCTTTCCTGTGGTATGGGCCCCTCTGGAGAAATAGGGCCAGTCCCATGTGGTAGGAAATCCAACAGACCCTGATGGCATCTTCTGCCATTTAGGAATTTGCTTTAAACTCCTTCTCCAAACATTAAAAACTCTGTGGCTTCCTCCCCGTCCAAAGTTTTGAACGTCAAGTCTTTGTTGATTCCAGTACCCTATATATTCAACATTGTCTCTTCCTCTCCATATTTATCGACACCTTTGGCCAAGTCAGTGTTATCTGAGTTAGGAAAATCTGTGAAAGACTTTAAGATTGGCAGAAAAGATTAGTGGGAGCCCTGCCAGCTAATCTATCTGGGTTATCTACCGTCCATTATTTTTGAGTTGCTCTGCAACTCTGTGACTTGTAGATAGTCATGCAAATGATACATATTCATAAAAATGTAAAGTAGCTTGGGATGCAATTGATTATTACCCCCTGGAGAGACCTGTTTTTTCACCTATTAAAAATTTATTTCACCTTTCCTTTACATAAACATATGGCATTTTGAATTCTACTTTGAACCAGTTTTAACACCTTACTGGTTCCCTCATTAATTAATGAGTTGAAGTCTTTGACACATGTTATATTACATTTGAATGAAATCCACAACTTTACCCTTTTTAAAAAAATTATCCCTGAACACACAGACCACTGTAATACTTTGCCAACTGGTTCTTCCTTTCCATGCTTCACTTTATCCATCCCCTTCCTTTCACTTTCTACAGAGTAGCTGGAGTGATCTTACAGTGTAAGCCTAATAATCTCTTTTTTTTTCTGTAAAATCTTTCAATGGCTGCTCCTTGTTTGTATTCGGTTTTTAAGGCCCTAAATAGTTAGCCCCCCCCCCCCCCCTCAATTTACTCCTAATTTCATTTTACTCTACTCTTGCCTCCTAATTATGCTCTAGCCACATAGTCTGTGTCCCCCCGACCCAGGGTCTTCCCATGGCTTGTACACAACTCCTTCCTCCATCATTTCCTGGCCAACTGCTGCTCTTCCTTGCCTGAGCTTAAATGTCACTTACTCAGGACACTTTCTGAGCTCCTGGAGTAGGGTGGGTATGCTCTATACCAGCGGTTCTCAACCTATGGGTCGCGACCCCTTTGGTGGTCGAACGACCCTTTCACAGGGGTCGCCTAAGACCATCCTGCATATCAGATATTTACATTACGATTCATAACAGTAGCAACATTACAGTTATGAAGTAGCAATGAAAATAATTTTATGGTTGGGTCACAACATGAGGAACTGTATTTAAAGGGCCAGAAGGTTGAGAACCACTGCTCTATACTCTTAAAGTGTTACCTTTTGAAGCACTCATCATAATTGTAATTTAAATAATTGTATCTGAAAGTATTTGTCTCTCCTCTCCTAGATGGTGGTATGTTCCATGGGTGCAGGGCTGTCTGTTTTGTTCACTGAAACAGCTCCAGGCACTCCGCAAGCATCCAGTGGGTACTTATAGACGTAATAAGTAAATGAATGGCAGTGACTGAAACACACATTTAAATGCCTAATACTATATATCCATAAACCAGTTAGAAGTTGATTGGAAAGAGATAGGAGTGTGGAAACGAGAGCAAAATGGCATAAACTGTGTTATTTCATGGATTTGAATGCTTCGGGGATTTTGCTGCATTTATTCAAAAAACAAACAAATCCAACTATGCAAAGGTTTCAAAATACCTGTTTGATATTTATCTGGTTTCTTGGATGTGTGCTGCAAAGTTTATTAAATCACCATTTGGATTTAATAGGTATCATTTTCTTATCTATTGGGTAGGAGTCTTCAGATAGGATCCACCTATAAATTTAGAGTGAAGAAAATGAGTTTTTAAACATAAAATTGGGTTAATTTATTCCTTGACAAAAGAGATTTGGAAAAGAGCTTGAGAATCCTGAATACTATGGAACTAAAACCATATTTCAATTTTTAACTATATAAAAGAAATATGATCGTTAAGCAGCATTCACTATATATATATAATTTGCTGTAAGTCCTTGTTAATATCTCACCGAGTACTCAGTGCTTTGGAGTTTGGTTATCCTGAGAAGTCACACAGTATAGAAAAACATATGGTTGTTGGATTTGAAAAGTTATGTAAAGCTCAGAAGAAGATGATTATCGAAAGGAGCTAAGAGTTAGGAAATTAAGCACTTCTTGCTGGATATGTGGCTCATTTATTTCTGACCTCTGGCAGATTATTAGCCAATTTTTTCAGGTCTCTAGTTTTTATTCCTCTAGCTATGAGACACACTTGATCATAATTGCTTGCCTCATATTGCTAAGAAATAGAGAGGCATTATTGTGAAACATTATGGAAGATTATAATTAGAAATGCTAAATTAAAACCCTATCAGGTACCCCAAACTTGTGGTATCCCTGGCCTGTGCTATTATATATATTTTAAAACAGAAACGGAAGAAGAAAGCATTGGCTCAGTAAGCCCACTTGATTCCATTTTCTGGTGGGTAAAGCATGAGTGTTTTGTTCCCTCTAATTTGAAGAGCCTTTGGTTTGTTAGTGGGCTGGTCTCCTGGGGGACCAGCCTTGTTGCTTCGCTGTTGGGAAATGTGTTCTGACTTTAAGCCTGCATTTTCTTTGGATGACTTTCAGAGCTTCTCATCTGGCAGAGCTGAGACGTACAAATTGCTGAAGCTCTTTTATCGGTTTAGTGAGGCGATTCTCAAAAAAAAGGTTTAACACATAAAGGTTAGAGGTAGAAATGTGCAAACTTAAAAATGCTGAACTTGAGTTGGGCATATTTCTGCTTTTCCCCTTTTGAAAACAAAGGTGAGCCAAGTTTTCATTTAGTTACTATTCCAAACTTGACATTTAAAAAGACAGAACAGAAAAGGGGGAAATCTGGAGCATTTTTTTATAGGTTTCAACGTGAAGAGCTATTCAAATGTGTTCCTTTTAGAGACAGTGATACGTTGCTGTTAGTGGCCTATCGTTTTCTCCTTTTTTCATCTTAGAAGTTGATAGTCACAAAAATAGAATTGGGAAAAGATGTGGAGGGAGGTTTGTAGAGGAGGGAGCAACAAAAGCATCCTGCAGGTGTTTAAGCCTTTTTTT